CTATTTGAGAGTTATTCTTATCTCCTGTTTCTAATACTATTGGTTGTTCAACAAACAAACCAGGTGGTTATCATCACTTATTGCAATACTGAAATATAGCTAAAATTCCTAAAACTGTCTCAATTCCAATATACTTTGATTTTCAATATGCAACATCAAACTTGTGTCAAACATATTCATCTTTTGCTAACTTTAGTGAAATATGCCTAAAGCTGAGTAAGGAACATCTCTCTGGTGACTGTGGCTGCTTGGTAGGTAGGTTTCTCAGTGACAGATTTGGCAAGCACCATGGTGTGCCCTTTGGCACAATGCCCTTGGCTCTGTGGCACCTACAGGCAGGGATGGTCACCAGGCTGAGCCAGGTCTTTGGTTGTGTGCTGAGTCCCTGAAGTGACCTTGTCATTGTAGCTGGTCTCTTGCTTTCTACCTGTTGAACCACTTACTCTCTGTCCAGTTCAACCACTTACTTTCTTCCTGTTCAAAGTTTACTCTCTGTCCCATCCTGCCTGCTCTACTACCAAGGCCAGGCAACTTCCTCAATTGTTAACATCCAAGACATTTAAATGACTCTTTTCACTTTCCATATTTTTGGCTTCATCAAATACAGCAATCCAGAATGCTCACAGAAGGAAACAGTACAAAGATTGGAGCTTGGGCCAGTGGGATTCTCGGTTGTGATTTGTCGGCATCCAGGCACCCACTGCCTGGCTCCATTAGAGCAAGGACAGCAGTTGCACCAAGTTTGCAATGCACAGACGTGACAGTTGTGTTCAGAAGGACTGCTCTCGCTACCAGAGAACCCGAAGTCGGTGACACACCTGTCACCAAGCCATCTTCATTCTTGCCACTTATTGGAGTTTTGGTGAGATCCAGTGTAACTCAGTGGTCTTACCAGCTGACATACCAGATGAAATGGAATCATAGTTGTTTTGTTTAATGTCACTTCAAATATTTATATTTTCTTTAAGAATTAAGCAGTGGCCTATATCAACAAGTCACCCTATTTCAATAGAAAAAGAAAAGCAAGTGCTGAGTATAATCTCTTAACTTTGAACACAACCATTAAGTTTAAGGTTCTTGCGCAGACCATCAGATGGAACCATCCAACGTCACCAGATGGAATCGATATCAGATCATGCTACGGCTCCACGAGTAGGCCTCATAATTAATCCCATGGTTAAGGAATGTAGGAAGATTCTTAAGAGTACAAGCAGAATAAGCCTATTTGGATTGTTTCTTTCATCACCTTTTTATCTGCAGACTCCTAAGTCTGCACTTCTGAAAGCAACTGGTACCATAAAAATTCATTGTTGGAGACCTTTGCTATTTTACCACCTACTAAATTCACAGAAGCTCTTTTTTTTTTTTTTTTTTTTTTAAGAGAGAGTGAGAGAGGAGAGAGAGAGAGAATTTTTATTATTTATTTTTTAGTTCTCGGCGGACACAACATCCTTGTTGGTATGTGGTGCTGAGGATCGAACCCGGGACGCACGCATGCCAGGCGAGCGCGCTACCGCTTGAGCCACATCCCCAGCCCCTTCACAGAAGCTCTTTACCACACCCACACTTTATAAAGATGCATATAGTTTTATAGATCAGAAAAAGAAATTTCATTTTATAAAAACATGTTGATGTTGTAAAGTGGCCAACGCACCAAATATCCACGATCCCCAAACAATGGCAGCACACACACCCTTCAGCTCACCCACGGGCTGTGTAATGGATAATATTTGTGTAACTAAATAGTGTTTTATGAAGATATGTTTGGAAATAAGTTCTACCTTGTAAGCTGTAACTTTTTTTTTTTTTTTAATGCCCTTCCTTAGCCACTGTTCCTCATTTTTGGGGACTATTTTTCCCTTTGATCTTTCCTTTAGGATCTTTTGAAAAATAAATCGAAGTGACATTTTAAAACTTGTTCCAGTTGTTCCAATATTTTGGCCTATACATCTACATTCTATCAAAGTACTCTTTCCTTTTAAAATTTAATGAGTATTTTATTTGAATATCCCATTTTGCTCTTGGGGAAAAGCGACACCAAACACGGGTTCCTAAGGCAGTCTCCAGGAGGGGCTTATGTCGAGCACACTTGACAAAGGACTCTGGATTTCTTCCCCGGCCTCGGTGGCCTTGTTTCCACTCCCCTCCTTCAGTTGTTGACTTGCTTCTTTCGAGGCTGTGATGAAAGAGGAGAAAGAGTGATTCATCATTTCCTTCAGGCCATAGCCTCATAAATTTTCTTCTCTTTACCTAACTAATCATCATCACTACTAATTATGCTCCAGAAAATAAACTGGAATGCAATTCAGGCTGCTTAATATAGAACACATCAGTGTATAAATCAGAGGCTGCTGTCAAAGTGGCTTTATGTGGCCGAACATCGAAAATAGGAACTGTGTTTCCCATTCTGCTTTTGTGTTCAGCCTGCACCATAAGGCCTAGAACATACTGGGATAGAGTTGGAAATTGAGTAGTAGAATCTAATTTTAAATGAGCTTAACACAAATTAAGTGAACATTACTTTGAGGGTAAATTCATGAATAAAATTACACATTGGTTTTGTTGAAGAATGTTGGTATGGCAGGTCTTGGAGCAGAGCCAAGAGGAACACTTGCCTTCCTCCTCTGAGCTGTTCAAAACGGCAGCTCTTACATGACCAGGAATCACCTCTGGGCAAAGCACACAGCCCACTGTGCAAATGGTAGGTGAAGTCACTTGACCTTCAGCCATGATTCCATCATCCCTGGTTGGCCAGTGAGGAAGCAGGTTTGGATGAGTGGGGTGACTTGTGTTGGTGCCAGAGTTAGGATGTGCCAGAGACCAAAGCCCTCCAGTTTTGTTGTTTCTTCCTCCATAGTTCAAAGTGATCAATTCTTCTCCACATACTCATTTCCCATCTCATCTGTGATGTTATGGCTGGATCCCCGTCRGTAGACTTTAACACTAAGGAGAGATAAGAGCAAGGTTCACAGCATTTTAGTGGGTATAAAGTTAGAGGTATCCTATCCACACATGGGATCTCTACTTCCATTTGCATTTCCTACTGCAGCCATCCTACACATCCTCCTTCCTAAGCTCTCTGCGCAGATTTCCTCTTGCACCTATGGCTAGAGGTCACCCTGCTGGACTGCAAAGACCAGACTAGACCAGGCCATTCAGCTTTGAGCACCTTCTCTTGCCTCCTCTGCCCCTCTTTGCCTCAGTTCCTCTATTTTAAAAGATTTAAAAAAGTGTTCCTTGATTCTGCTCCCTCCTTGCATGATCTGATTCTTTCAGTGACACCATGATCCTGTCAAGACTGTACCTCRACTTATTCCCCCGTGACCTTAACAGCAGTGCACTGCCTGACCCCTCCTAAGCCTCTTCTCACTTTCCACCTCCTCATCCTACTAACCTCTAACACAGAGTAGCCTCTGCCTTGAATGGATTCTTCTCCTATTCTTTATCTTTCTGGTGTTTTCCCATTGCCCACTATAAACTCCCAAATCTTTGGCCTGGCCTTTGAGTCTGGCTATGGTCCCCAGTCTGTGGGGAGAGGTATAGACATACCTGATTAGCTCATTCACCTTTCCCTGTGAGGTCTGCTGTTTGGCTGGGTCTAGGGAAGACTATACATAGGCTCTCTGAGAACTTTCTTTCAAAGGCATCTRTCAAAGATGGAAGAGCTAAAGCTATAAAACTCTTAGAGAACATCTGTAAGTGATTCTCAGATTAGAAAATATCCCCTAGCCAATGTCACACCTAGAAAAGAGAAATAATTTTATAATTGCTGACATTCTTTYCTTTGCTCATGCTGATTTCTTAACCTGAAAATAGCCTGTCTTTGATTTTACATGTCTGACTCTTATCTATAATCCAGGTTTTTCACTCAGACATCCCTGATTCCTCCAAKTCCTCCAGCTCTTTTATAGCACCGTGTTGTTTTGTTTTGGGCAGTACTGGCTTGTTCTATCACTGAGCTACATTCCATGCATTCCATCCCTTTTTATTTTATATTGTGAGACAAGGTCTTGCTAAGTTGCCCAGGCTGGCCTTGAACTTGCAATTCTCCAGCCTCAACTTCCCAACTAGCTGGATAGTATTGCTTTTAGGGGCTAGGGGTATAGCCAAATAGTAGATCACTGGCTTAGCATGCATAAGGCCCTAAATTTGACCCTCAGCACTGCTTTAAAAATAAAAAGAAAAAGAAAAAAAGCTTTGGCTTTTAATCATGTTTCTTGGTGCAGGCCTAAACACCTACATTAGAAGAATTGATTGGAAAATATTAGTGCTACTTTGGAATTAGAGTGCCTTTGTGACCTCCACTGCCTTCAGGGTCACTGCTGCCCTAGTTCTGTTGTTTTGTGTTTTGTTCTCTTTTTGTGTCTTAAAACCAATTGATCTTATCTCTGGAAAAGATGAAAATGAAAAAGTGCATTTTTGTGCTTCAGCCCTTGGCATCATTTTAATTACCTGCGTGAAAGAAACAGTCCTCCCTAGGTAAGCTAGCTAGGTTTGCGGAGCACCTAGATTTGTGAAGTTACCTGACTGGCAGTTAATACTTACAGCAGGGTAAGAAGAGGCAGAAAAAGAAGGTTGGAGGATCTAMACAAAGAAGTTTACTTCTAGAAAATGCTATCAACACACCAGAAGCTAGAGTTTCTCCAATGTCATTTAGAATGACCCACGCTGTACTGAAATGCACAAAATAGAAAATCAGATTCTTCCTTTGTGAAATAAGAGTGCATGGTCTACACCTGTCCAAGGTGCATTTCTTTGGGAATGGGTGTATTTGTTGTGACTTGCTGCCTGAGAACATTCCATCACCTTCCACTGAGCACTACAGGAATCCTATGGTCTCACCTGTGGGGACATTTTATGCATTTAACCCAGGATCAAGACCTCAGGGCTGTGGTGTAAATCTTCTAACTCTATGGACAACTTATTGAATGAATTAATTCGTTTGCGTTGTTTATCTCCCTCAGAAATGAACACGCCCACGAATGCTAGATGCCTGTGAGCTCCCTCGGCGGCACTGAAAAGGCAGAGTGGAGGCCTCCGAGKACCGGCTCCTTGCCCTGGGTCTTGGCGCTGCCCCTGCTGCTCGCGGTCCACCATGGAGACGCTGTCCCAGGATTCGCTGCTGGAATGTCAGATCTGCTTCAACTACTACAGCCCCCGGCGGAGGCCTAAGCTGCTGGATTGCAAACACACCTGCTGTTCGGTGTGCCTGCAGCAGATGAGGACGAGCCAGAAGGACGTGAGGTGCCCCTGGTGCCGCGGCATCACCAAGCTGCCCCCTGGCTTCTCCGTGTCGCAGCTGCCCKATGACCCCGAGGTCCTGGCCGTCATCGCCATTCCGCACACCTCCGAGCACACTCCGGTCTTCATCAAACTTCCTAGCAATGGGTGCTACATGCTGCCCTTGCCCATCTCCAAGGAGGGCACACTGCTGCCAGGAGACATGGGCTGCCGCCTGCTCCCCGGGAGCCAGCAGAAGTCCGTCACCGTGGTGACCATCCCTGCGGAACAGCAGCCGCTGCAAGGCG